CCCGAGGCTGAAGCCCTCCATTTCGTCTCCCTCCCTCCCTCCCCCCACTCCACTCCTCTCCTTCCCCCTCCCCCTCTTTTTGCCTCCCTTTAACTCCCGGGTTCAAGACTCCTCAGCCCGGCCAGACTCTGTGCCCCACCGAAGGAGGCAGGAGGAGGAGGGGAAAAGACTTCTTCCTCTCCCCCCCCCCCCTTTCCCCCTCTGCTGCCAGTCTTCCTTCCTTCCTTCTCGGGACCGCTAGCAGAAGATGGCGTGGGTGCTGAAGATGGACGAAGTGATCGACTCCGGGCTGGCCCATGATTTTGAAGCTAGTCTCTCCGGTATCGGACAAGAATTGGGCGCTGGCGCCTATAGCATGAGGTGGGCGCCGCACGTTGTGGGTTCTCAGGGGGAAAATGGAGGAAGGCGGGATGGCAGGTTCGTCGCTCACAGCTTCACTCCGGCCATATGCTGGGAAAACGGTGCTAGGCCACGCGGTGGTGGTAGTGAGGTTTCTGCATCTTGGGCAACCCCTTACTTGGTTCCCTCGAAGAGGGGCCCTTGGTTGTCAGCAAGAGCCTTGTGTGTCGTTAGCCTCCTTTAGTCATCTCTCCAAGGCTTTGTCCCAGTTCTGATTGCCCTCCTTTACTGAGTGCAATGGAAGTAGATGGGTTTTTCTTCTGATGTATTTGCAGAACCAGTCACAGCGAGCATGGTCAGGAGGATAACTGGCCATGTGTACACAGGTGCAGCACAGTAGTGCACTTTCTGGTTTCAGACCATGTTGATCTCTTGCCTGGTCGTGTAGCGAGGAGGACTTATCTTCCGTGTTCAAGTGGGTGGAGGAGTGCAGTTGGAGGAAACTCCGTATCAGTCTTTCTTAGCGACTGCTGTCCATATTCCAGTTTTGAAAGATCCAGAAATACATAATGCTCTTTGCCAGGTGCTCAGATTTTACTTTATTTAAAACAAAGAAGGCGGTGTCGTACAGGATTTATGACTTTGTTTTTACCTGTTCATATATGTGATTTGATTATAAGGGTCTGTCATCTTTTTTAATGTATGGTATGTTCTGTATGAATATAATGTGTGTGTTTATTATGGTTAAATGGAAGAACTGTGAAGTAAGTTTGTGAATTTGTTTGCGTATCTGGGGGACATTGTTCAACCACAGTGTTGTGACAGATTGAAGTAAAGACCTCTAAAACTGTGTGTCAGCTAGCAATGCTGTTATAGTTGGGGCCTGGTAATATGTCCCTTTAGTATCAGAAGAAGGGGGAAATGGAGAGAGAGTTGGGAATGAGGTATGAGTGGTAGTCTACTATAAATTCCTTGCTGATGTGTGTTATTTTTGAGTGAAGAGACATTAGAAGAACCAATAATATTAGGAAAAATGGAAGTAGGAGAATATGGCCAACCATGAGATGAGTAGAGTGAGTAAAGGAAGCTGCAGCCTAGTTTGCAAGACCTGAAGAAAGTTGTTTATGATAGGACCTCTTGAAGAGCATTAATTCATGCAGTTGCCATTATGAGTTAGAAGTGGTTTGACAGCATGTAATATGTACCAAATGTGCTTAAGTTGGTCTTCAGTTAACTTTTGAATTGTCACCAACTCTTCCTCATTTCCATTCAAGAAGGGTTAGGATCTCCCTGATGATGTCTGGTTCACCTTCAGTCACTCTGAATTAGCAGGTGGTTTTACTGCTTTTGAAACACAACATGCTCAAGGAAGAGTCCCTGCTTTTGTCACTTTGAGCTGGGGGAGTGTACTGTATGCATCAGAATGAGAATGCTCACTGCTAGTGAGTATAATTGTAGTACTGTTAGTATACTGCACATGCTGGAGTCCCTGCTTTTGTCACTTTGAGCTAGGGGAGTGTATAGAATGAGAATGCTCACTGCTAGTGAGTACAGTTGTAGTACTGTTAGTATACTGCACATGCTTTCTTTTGAAATCATGACTATATTTGGTGTATCATGGAAATTATTGCTATAAAGTACAGTATAATTTCATATTAGTCCTTGTTATAAGTCTCACAGTGGGCCAAGTATAGCAAGGCAAGTATATGTTTATTTCTGCAACTTGATTAAACTAGTCACAACTTTCTAAGGAGATTAAGACACTCACACAAAGTAAAGAAATAAGTTTCTGTTAATGTACCCAGAAGCTACTTTGATGTTGCTGTTTTTGCTAATATCTATGTTTCTTCCATTAATTATCTTATAGTAAAAAATACAGAGTGGATCTAGCCACATAGTGGCCAAAATTCTATTGCTGGTGTAAAGTAAATAGGGTACTGTTAGTGGTGAATTGCTGCAAATCTCGAAATCAGTGTAGACATTGTTGTGTTCCAGGGTTTGCAATTCAGCACACAGCAAACAATGAGTACACTGACTTTGTCACTTGGAGTAGTATGAGTTACACTGGCAGTAGGATTTTGGTCATTGGCTTTTGTTTATCAAAGCCTTTTGTACTAATTTAAAATGTTTAGGTAACATTTTTGTCAGTTCTGAGTATAATGAAAGATACATGCATCATATAATAGAATGCAGGTTTGAGAGGGAAGAATGGAAGCTAAAGTTTAGAACTTTGAAATCTTGTCCTGAAACTTGTTGCATTAGCAAATGCTTAGGATATGGCCTGGCTCAATGTATCACACAACATGTAGATACTGGCTGTTGTTAATATGATTGCTTAGTTAGGTCCAGAAATAATTGGACACTGACACAAGTTTTATTACTTTGTCTGTTTGCCAAAATAAATTCAGGTTATAGTGAAATAACAAATATGGACTTGAAGTGCAGTGTCTCAGCTTTAATTTGAGGGTATTCACATCGAAATTGGAGGAAGGGTTTAGGAATTACAACTTTTTAATATGTAGCCCACTCTTTTTCAAGAGACCAGAAGTAATTGGACAGTTGACTCAAAAGCTGTTTTATGAACAAGTGTGGGCTATTCCTTTATTTCATCATCAGTTAAACAGGTAGAAGGTCTGGGGTTGATTCCAGGTGTGGCATTTGCATTTGCAAGCTGTTGCTGTGAATCCACAAGATGTGTTCAAAGGTGCTCTGAATGCAAGTGAAACAGGCCTTCCTTAGGCTGAAAAGAAAAGAAATCCATCAGATAGCAGAAACATTAAGAGTGGCCAAATCAACATCTTGGTACATTCTGAGAAAAAAAGAATGCACTAGTGAGCTCTGCAACACAAAAAGACCTGGATGTCTACAGTGGTGGATGATCATAGGATCTTTCCCATGGTAAAGAAAAAAACCCTTCATGATATCCAACCAAGTGATGGACACTGTCCAGAAGGTAGGCATACAATTATCCAAGTCTACATGAACAGAAGTAGGATCTTTCTCATGGTAAAGAAAAAAACTCTTCATGATATTCAACCAAGTGATGGACACTGTTCAGAAGGTAGGCGTACAATTATCCAAGTCTACATGAACAGAAGACTTCAAGAGAGCAAATACAGAGGATTCACCCAAAGGTGCAAACCATTCATAAGCCTCAAAAATGGAAAGGCCAGATTAGACTTTGCCGAAAAATATATTTAAAACCCAGCCCAGTTCTGGAACAGTATTCTTTGGACAGATGAAACTAAAATCATCCTGTACCAGAATGATGGTAAGAAGAAAGTATGGAGAATACTTGGAATGGCTCATGATCTGAACATACCATGTAATCTGTAAAACACAGTGGAGGCAGTATGATGGCATGGGCATGTGACAGAAGCAGCCGAATGAATTCTGAAGTGTATAGGGATACAGTGGTGCCTCACTTAACGATTGTCCCGCATTACGATGAATCCGCTTTACGACAATCTTTTTGTGATCGCAGAACGATGGTCTAAATGGGGGAATTTCACTTAGCGACGATCGGTTCCCTGCTTCGGGAACCAATTTTTGCTTTACGACTATCAAAAACAGCTGATTGTTGGGTTTTCAAAATGGCCGCTGGGTGCTTAAAATGGCTCCCCACTGTGCTTAGGGTCGGATTCCTCGCTATTCAGGCATCAAAAATGGCCACCGTATGGAGGATCTTTGCTGGACGGTGAGTTTTTACCCCATTGGAACGCATTGAACGGGTTTCAGTGCGTTTCAATGGGGTATTTAATTTCCCTTTATGATGTTTTCACTTAACGGCAATTTTCCTGGAACAGATTATCGTTGCTAAGTGAGGCACCACTGTATATTGTCTGCTCAGATTCAGCCAAGTTCAACAAAGTTGATTGGACAGTGCTTCACTTTGTAGATGGACAGTGACCCAAAACATACTGCAAAAGCAACCCAGGAGTTTAAGTCAAAGAAGTGGAATATTCTGCAATGGCCAAATCAGTCACCTGACCTCAGCTTGATCGAACCTGCATTTCACTTGCTGAAGACAAAACTTATGGCAGAAAGCCCCACAAACAAAGAACAACTGAAGACAGCTGCAGCAAAGGCCTGGCAAAGCATCACAAAGGAGGAACTCCAGTGTTTGTCGATGTCTATGTGTTCCAGACTTCAAGCAATCATTGCCTGAAAAGAATTCTTAATAAATAAATAAAGTATTAAAATGAACATTTTATTTCCAGTTGTGTTAATTTGTCCAATTACATTTGTGTTCCTGAAAGAAGCGGTCTGTGTATGAAAATGGTTGCAATTCCTAAAAGTTTCATACGCTATTTTTGTTCAACCCCTTGAATTAACATTTGCATTTAATTGCATCTTGGTTGTTTCATTTCAAATCCATTGTGGTGGCATAGAGTCAGAACTATGAAAATTGTGTCAGTGCCCAATTATTTCTGGACCTCACTATATTTATTTATTTATTTATTTATTTATTGGACTTATATACCGCCCCATAGCGCTACAAGCACTCTCCGGGCGGTTTACAATTTTTTAATTATACAGGCTACACATTGCCCCCCCCCCCGGTGGCATAGAGTCAGAACTATGAAAATTGTGTCAGTCCCCAATTATTTCTGGACCTCACTATATGTTGAGCATCAAGTTATTTACAAGAGAAAATATGCCTTAAGGCACTGTACAGTGCTTATTAATATTTGAAGGTGGCATACTGAATAGATTACAACAACTGTCTAAAACACACACACATAGAAGAGCTTGGATTTGTTTATTGTTTTACAAATGTGTATTGTGTCTTTCATATAACCTTCAAGGCAGCTAAGAAAAATAACAGTCGAAAAATGAGACTTGACCCCACCCAATAAATGATGTGAAATGCATCTAAATGAGCATAAAATAACAGCCAGTTTGTGAAAGGTCTATCAGATTCCATTTATTTTAGATCAACCAGTTTCAGCCTTATGAGTCTGCCCGTACTCTAAGATCAGTCTTGAGACCCTGTTGTTATGCCTATTTGTGAAAACACC